CATCGAACGCAATCTTTTGTCGGAATGAAAGAATCAATTATTCACTCAAATTCACTCATAGGTACATATTCAGTAAAATATCAGCTTATCTTTCTTTTTAGCTAAGTGTTTATCGCTAACTCCAATTCATTATGGCTTTAAAGAAAGTGTAATAAAAAAACTGAATCACCTTCATCTTTTCTTAAATCTCGCGTACTATTTTGTCCTACAAATCCGAGACAGATAAGAAGTATTGGAGTTCCGTATATGGGCGATTTGAACGATCCAACCGATTGAGCCATTATTTTCAATCGGTTTCCGTATATGGGAAATCAGTTTGGTCAACGGACGCTATAGGCCAGTTCGTAACAGATATCGTTGACAGAGAAGAGACTTTTAATTATAAAACTTATTCGCTCTTATTCTTCTTATTCATTATAATTAGTCATTCTATAATTAGTCAATTTTATAAGTCATAAATCTGCACCGATTTAATATAACCGCCAGAAAATTTAACATTTTAATTTCTCCCAAAAAGACAAAATGCGTGGTTAGAACAGCAAATTTACTAAGATGTAAATTGGATTTGGAAGGTTAGATAATAGAAGTTATGGAGTAGAAATACTACTACTAAATCTAGCTGCGGAAAGCTCGAAACAGTAGAGCAAACACTATGGAACAGAACTAGAAGTACAGATATATGACGTAGATGCAAAGTGGAGAACTTCAAGGAATTGGTAAGAAAAAGAAGAGTAGAATGGAACGGTCAAGTATGCCAAATGACAACAAATAGAGTAGTAAAGAGAGCGAGAGACTCTTCTCCAATAGGAAGATGATCACTAGGAAGACCACAAAACCGATGGAACGACAATTTACTTGGGGCACATTGAATAACAGACAGAGTCATGTCTACATAAAAAGAAAAAGAAGTAGAAGAAGAAGTTATAAATCTTCTCTATTATCTATCAAAGTGTCCTATCAACAAAAATCACAATGCGATTTTAAAGGTGAACCATGCAGCTTTCGCATGCAATTTTTCCACTTTGCCGCAAATGAAGTCAGTTTCTATAAAGTTTTTAACTAAATAAGGCATTTGAAATATGTCTAAAAAACGCTGAATTTAAACTTTTACTTTACAAACTATATTTATTTTTTGAACCTATTCTCTATCCTTTCATTGTTGGATATAGGTCTCCCCCAGTTCTATCCATCTTTCCCTATCTTGAGCTGTTCTGTCATGTGGGACCTCCTTGTTTCCTGATGTCATCTTTCCACCTCATCTGTGGTCTGCCTCTTGATCGTTTTGCACTGTATGGAAGCCACTTTCCGATGGCATTGTTCCATCGTCCGTCTTGGAGACGTTCATTGTGTCCAGCCCATTTCCATTTCAGTTTTGCTGCTTGTTCTATCGCGTCTACTGTCTTTGTTCTGGTTCTGATCCACTGGTTACGTTTATAAAAACAAACGTAACAAACTATATAAAACGATTAAAACTGCTTCTTTTCGATTGGACCAGTACGTTTGTCAAAAGTACACAACTTCAGTTACAAATTACAAGTAATGATGTCTTCGGTGAAGCATTTCCGGTAACGTGAGATTGTTTATAATGTGAAAGTTTAAATTCAGCGTCTTTTAAGTATCTTTCAAATACCTCAGATTGTTCGTGCTACAAATTTTCCTGTAATATAGAAGTCCAAGCGGGCAATCAACCTTATGCTCAACCTTATGCTCATCATAATCCATACATGTTCAATTGGTGATAGGTCTGTTGATCTTGCTGGTCATGATACATGTTCAATTGGCGAAAGGTCTGGTGATCTTGCTGGTCATGGAAAAACGGTAATGTTATATTGACAAAGAAACATTAAATTTACTGTGATTCGGGCGTTATCTTGCTGAAAATAGGGTTTTCAAGATATTATGAATGTGACTCTGGGCATTCGTGCTTCTTTTCGGAAGTACTAGAGGGGACCTACTTCTATATTCATCATCATCATTAGCCATTTTGCGTCCACTGCTGAACATAGGCCTCCCGTAAATAATTCCATTTCATCCGATCTTGAGCAACTTGAATCCAGTTAGACTGGATGCGCTTTAAATCGTCCGACCACCTTGTTGGAGGACGTCCTCGACTACGATAAGCATCGTGTCACTTCTATATTATAATAACATAAATCATAAATGTTCTGGTGCCCCAAACCATAAGTGCCGTCTCACGTTTCACGAAGAAGGTAAGTCCTTACCTTTCTCAGATTTTTTCGGCAAATTTGTCTTTGACCATAGTTAAATCAGACAGAGTTAAGATTATTCGCTAAATACGCCAGTTTCTATTTCCGATCTTACTTGTCCCGTTTCTGAAACCACTGAAGTCTTGCTTCCTTATGTATTTCGGTTAACTTCAAGATAAGGTGTGGTGTGTAGAATTAAAGACCAAAAGACCTTATTCTCCGATAAATTGATCTTATAACAAGTTGTACTGTAGCAGACAGTTATTGATTGCCAGTAATCTAGTGATACTGAACTGGTTCCTAGGAGCATTTGTTGTCAGTAGTCGTTTTTCGGTCACTGGTTCTGAAAACTGAAAAATCGATATTAAATTAAATTTTTAAGATAAGGCTTGTTTGCTATGAACTAACTGCGAACCTTATTAGGTCTTGTTTATAATTTATTTTTGAACAAACCCTTCTCAAAACACTGTTAACATTTTTGACATTCTTGACATTTTTGAAACAATTTTTGACATAGTCTTCCCCCAAATCAATCCAGTGTCTTCTATTTTGCGCCACTTGCTTCCAGTTGTGTCCTCCGATCTTCTTAATATCTCCACCCATCTCATTTGTGGTCTTCCTCTGCTTCTCCTTCCTAACCATGGTCTCCATTATTGTAGTTCGTGGTTCCATCTCTTATCCTTCAGTACGGCATTGTATCCTGCGAAGCTCCATTTTAATTTGGCAGCATGTTCTCCTGCGTCTTTTACTTTCGTTCTGCTTCTAATCCATTTGTTTGTTTTTTGGTCTATAAGTCTCATCCCGAGCATTGATCTTTCCATTGCTCTTTGTGCTTTTACTATTTTATCCATGTTATACTTGGTGAGTGTCCACGTCTGTGAGCCATACGTGAGTATAGGGAGGATACACTGATCGTAAATTCTGGTTTTCAAATATGGTTCTATTTTAGTGCTTTTTAAGATCCAATGCAGTTTTCCAATTTTCCAATTCCTGCCCACGCTAACCTTATTCTTCTGGTAATTTCGGCAGTTTGATTTTCTTTGTTAACTTTCATTATCTATCCCAGGTAGATGTATTCACTTACTGTTTCTAAATTTACGTCGTTCAACGTTATTTTTCTAATTTTCGGTGTATTTGTCATTATTTTTGTTTTTTCCAGGTTCATCCAAAGACCTACTTTTTCCGAAGCTTGAAATAGTTGCGTCATCATGGTCTGTAGTTCTTCGAAACTTGTAGCAAATATTACAATGTCATCAGCGTATCTTAAATGACTTAGTTTTCTTCCATTAACATTTATTCCTTTATCTGCCCAGTTAATGTCTTTGAATACGTCTTCCAGTCTAAGTGTAAATAGCTTTGGTGAGATAACATCTCCCTGGCGAACTCCTCTGTTGATTGGTATAGCTTTGGTTTTCGCATCTATTTGTATTTTTATTGTAGCTTTCATGTAAATATTTATGTAGTTTGTAGTTTTCATAATCAACGAAGTATAAGTTTAAGTGATATTCATTGGCTTTCTCAATTAGAGTTCTGGCTGTAAGAAGATGATCCGCTGTACTGTAACCTTTTCGGAATCCTGTCTGCTCTACCGGTTGAGCTACCCAGTCTCGACGTTAACCTGTTAGTTATTACTCTCATAAATAGTTTGTACATTTAGGACAGCAAGGAGATTGGCCTATAGTTCTTTAGATCTCCCCTGTCTCCCTTTTTGAAGATAAGTATTGGCAAACTTACATTCCAATCATCTCGAACTTCTCCGCTGTGAAGACATTCGTTGAAAAATTTTTTCAATTCTTCGAGAATAATTTTACTCCCCTCCTTCAACATTTCTACAAGTATTCCATCTGAGTCCGGAGCCCAGAAAAAACACTCACTACTCAAAAAATAAACTCAATCAATTCGACCGACCAATATAGCTGTTAAACTACATTTGCATCGTGACGACTGTTAAACGTGAAATTGTTAAACGTGCGAACTATAAATAATCGTAAGTTTTCTAAAATTTTTCAATTTTCTGCGCAACTTTCTTAAATTTTCTTTCCGTTAAATCTCCATATTTTCCACAGGTACAATTTGGCAAATCCGAAAGGTTTATTTGCCATTTGTTTAGCAGAGTTAAAGCATGATCTGACTTTATTATGTTAGTCTAAATATAACAAACATTTTTGTTGTATTGTATAGTTGCCATTAGAATACAACAGTTTACAAAAAGGATGGAAAGCGACTTAGAAGACATAAATGGATGGGTGACAAAACGGAAACAGTAATGAAACGAACACATTAGTAGAATGGCAGAGGATGTGATAGTACGAATAGTACGAGAAAAGTCACCAAATGGACGAAGAAGTATTGGCAGACCAAGAAGAAGATGATGCGATAATTTAAACAATTTAGGAGGCTAATATTGAAGAACAAACAGGCTTTAAAGCATAAATGAAGAAAGATGAAGAAGAAGAAGTGAAGTTGCCTTAATTTAAAAATAATTTATTCTATGTTACATTCTGTATAATAGTTTTTTTTTCCTACAAAACAAAACCAACAATATTTATTTAATTAATTAATTACTACTAAAGATACTTCTTAAATCTCTTTTGAAAATCAGCAACTGGCCTATAAGCCGCTCGGACACAGAAAACCACTTCATTATATCGTTGATTGAGTCATTTGCTTCCCCTTCATGAGATTAATTCCATGTGTTCAGTTTGTCGGATATTTCATCCTGCGAAATTCTCTGTGATGTCCTTCACGCAATTAAAAGGGGATTATAATGAGATATTTGGATTTATTGTTTAGGATGTTGACGGCACGAGACCCCAATCCAACCGTGTTAAATATATTTTGATAAATCCATTTTGTGACTCCGAAAATATATCAGAATAAGGTTGCGTTGAAAGAAATTTTAAAACTAAATAAAATTACCTTTAAATAAAAAAGAGTAGTTTATTTTAAGAGATTTTTACACTATAGTTATTTTATATATTATTCACTATAGTTGTTATTGTGCATTCAGGAAGACTTAAAAATACATTTTTAATTATAGGAAATAAAAGTATAATTATTAGTTTCAAATGCAGTGGCGAGAATTTGTCAGAATAGTCATGTTCAACCTAACAACCAGTGGTGTTTTAAAAACTACTTACGATTTACAATAGGTCAAATTGTTGAAGAAACAAGTGATTCACGCAGTAAAATCTCAGAAAGATGGAAAAGCGACCGGTTCAGTCAATATCAATGTCGAAATACTAAAACTAATTGCGGATAACGAAAGTAAAAGCATAGACTTAATAACAGCACTATTCAATAAGATATATGACACAGGTAAAATACCAACAGACTTGCTAAAATCAACATTCGTACCATTACCAAAAAGATCGAATTCCTCACAATGCGATATATGGAGCTTGATGTCTCATGTTCTTAAAACTTTTCTCAGAATTATCCACACACGTGGATGAACTGAAAAGAACTGCGAGTTCTAGATGAGTGACACTCAATTCGGATTTCCAAACGGATAGGGAATACGAGAGGCTCTTTTTGCTCTAAATGTGTTAACGCTACGATGCAGAGACATGAATGTAAATATATAGTAAGCATTTGACTGTGTTAACCAATAAAAGATGATCCAAATTCTGGGAACAACTGGAGTTGACGAACAAGACTTGCGAATTATCTCAGAACTATATAGGCACCAAACGGCAACAACTGAAATAGAGCACACAACATCCGAAGATATACAAATCCGACGAGGAGTGAGACAGGGTTGCGTCTTATCACCGCTACTGTTTAATTTGTATTCGGAGTCTATATTCAGAGAAGCATTAGACCAGGTCCAAGGCGGAATTAAAATTAACGGAATCAGCATAAACAACATAGATATGCTGATGATACTGTCTATCAAGCAACGCACAAGAACTACAAAATATAATACATGCGGTAGTTTACCACAGCGAAATGTTTGGTTTACATCTAAACGTTTCCAAAACTAAAACTTTAGTATTTTCAAAGACACCGATAAACGTACATGTGTATGCCAAGGGTCAAATGATAGAACAGATAAATTCCATAAAATATTTGGGAGCAAATAGTCAATGTAATCCAAAAAAGAAATACTACCAAGAATCGAACAAGCAACGAAAACATTCATGAGCATGAAAACTTCATCTCAGTGTTAATGTATCTATTTCGCTATACAGTGTTATTGAAGCATCCTGCCAGTCTATTTGCTTTTTGTACTTGATCTCTCGATGCTTTGCCCAGGTCTCCATAGCTAGACAGTGTAATTCCCAGATAATTTATTTCTATTACTTTGAAACTGATGCTATCAATTTCTATTCATAGCATCAGTATATTGATGAGATTGTCATAATAAATTGTTTAACTCTTATGTTAAATCTGTGGACCAGTCTTTGCAGACTATCTTCATCTTGGGCTATCAATATTTCGTCGTCTGCTTAACAGAGTATTTTTATTTCTTTGTTTCCCATTTTGTATCCTCTTCCTTTGTTAACGCTTTTGATGATTTCTTTTATGATCAAAGATCTTTTTGAGATGGTGTCTAAATATGGTTAATATGACCTGGGTTTTAGAGTACTAAGCTTACTAGATAATATGACCTCTCTACTTTGGCCACCAACGTTCAACCAAGTTGATTGGGCGTTGAGCGTCATTGAATCCCACTGGGTCTCTTCGAAGCTTCATGGCGAGAACCTACGTATCTTCTGCATATAACAGTGTTCTAGAAATTAGGTGCTACACGATAAAGAAGTTGCTCGTGTAGAGTGTATAGAAAATGGTAGGCAATACGGAATCTCCAGCTTCTGTGGTGAATGAAAATTGCTCTACATGTAGAAGTTTTTTGGAAGCTCACAAGAAAATAGACAGTTATTTTCAGGTTTTATGTATTTTAACTAATACTTGTAACCATTGAACGACCCACCAGAAACGGTGGATGCCAAAGGGTAGCAATATAACTACCTCCGAAACTTAAGGGCCAATGTCATATTCGCTATCCCCTCACCTTTCATTTAACGCATTACTCGCTCCAATCGGCTGAATAATTACGACCATATGATATAGTGCCCTTTTGCTCATGTTGGCATGTCTATTTTTTTCTGTTTTTGTATTCACCACCTCCCTTCCTTCCAACGGGGCCTCTTACGCCACGATTTGACGAGCCGTTTTACCCTCACCAAGCTAAAAATATCGCAAAGGAATTTTCTGACTACACTCTCCTTATCAACAAATTTAGCTAAACACCTGATAAAAGTCAGCTGCCAGTTGACAAATGGTTCCGGTCTTGATTAAGGTTTCTTACTTTGACTTTGAACTGTGCTAAGTTAGGACTTAACCGGTAATGCAGATACAATGGTTACCGAACATTCTACAGAACAGATCTACTGTCTATTGAAGTGAGATATAGAAATTTATATGTCCCATGTCTGTGATATGACTGAAGTCCAATACAGGAAATATAACTGAAATGAATGAAGACTGAAAATGAAAAATAAAGACTAAATAGTATATTTAGTGGATTGAAGAGTTATATGAAGAGTTGAGCGACAACTATTTTTAAAATAAAAATAATAAATTAAAAGATAAAGTTAATAGATGAATAAAATCAAAAGAAATTGAAATAAAATTATAAAAAAAAATAACGAAGATGTGACGTTAAAACATTACATATTTCTTCCCCGTTTTATCTATAATATTTTCAAAAGTCGCGTTGTATTATTCATCTATAAAAAGGATATTTAAACGATAAATTAATGTAGGAATAAAGTAGGAGGATATATCATTCCGTACTTCAAAGATGAAAATAATAAATTTTCTGAATATCGACAACTACTAAATAATTACGTACATGGTCAGCTTTAGTAAAAGAAAGCTTAAGTTGTTCATTTAAGAATGAGACCTATAAATTACCTTCTCGTGGGTGTTATTATATTTTAATATCAACCGTCTCATAATCGTTGGGCCGCAGTCGTACCGGATGCATTTGAATATATAAATTATTGCGATTTAATTCAGCGCCCGTGAATAACACACAATAATAATCATAAGTGTGGCGGTGATGGAAATTATACGACCTGTCTGCTCGTCTCGGATCCTACACCTTCTGTTGCGTACAAAAAGATGAAATGAGATTATATTTGTTGACAATATTATCCGAATAATACCAGTGTACTACAACTGATAAAATACTAGTTTAAAATGTTTGTTCGAGGTTTAACTTTAGATTTCAGCCTACAGATAAATCAACTATAGTATATTTATGAAAAACTTACAATTATGTTAATGTTCGGTAATATAACATTGTTTATATTTCACGACTAATATCGCGACAATATTTATAAACACAGGTCTGCCACGTACTTTTACGTTGTGAAACACTAGTCCACTGCAATTAATGTCACCCGTTCACGCTTCAACTCGGTTCAATGTAAAATCAACTGCAAATCATTCGTATATTAACTTATTATACTGTAAGTCTTTTTGCATTTAATGCTTAAGGGTTAAAACCTTACTGCATCTGTTACTTTTAGAAGTAAAATTTTAATTGAGGAATAAGAAAATTGTCTCCGTCTCTTCAGCTCAAGTATTAAATTTATAAAACCCAACTTTATAACAATTAATTAGATCTTTTCGTGTGTACGCAATTCAATAACGCTTGAACGCCCTATAGACAATTACATATCATAACAATGTTGTAAGCGCATATAAATAATATAAATATAATCCGTTCACAATTGATTTTCACTAAAGTATTTATCTTATTTTGGCATACCTATGTTTCTTGAAACAAAAAAAAAGGCATTTGAGCAGGTCAATTTAAAGGAAATTATCTAGAAATACCTCTAGGAATAATTAAAATGATTAAAGATATCTACCAAAACAACACAATGAAAGTAAAGGTAAAAGAAGAACTAACTGACCCTATTGACAGGAAGATTCCATGAGTCCTCTATTATATCTCTCCCCTAAAAAGGTGAGAACTAATAAAGGATACCAAATGGGAGATACTCTTAAAGTGAAGATAATTTACTAAACTGTAAATTGGAACTGGAAGGTCGGATAATAGAACAAGTGATGGATTTTAAAAATCTAGACATCACATTATCAAGCTTCGGAAAGCTCGAAACAGAAGTGAAAGATCAAGTGATTAGAGCAAACAGTGCCGCAGGTTGCAAGAATAAAACAATATGGAGAAATAAAAATATCGGGAAAGAAATAAAAGGCAGAATTTACAAAACATTCATCAGACCAATAACGACATACACGGCAGAAACACAACCTAACACAGAGAAGACAAAAAAGATGTTAGGAATAGCAGAGATCAAAACATTTTGATGGTAACACAAAATTGTTGGTAAAACACTCTGGGACAGAACTAGAAGTACAGATATGCGACGTTGGGTAAGAAATAGAAGAGTTGAATGGCACGATCATATAAGCCGAATGACAACAAATAGAGTATTAAAGACAGCAAGAAACGGTTCCCCAATAGGAAGGGGGGCACACTGAAAAACTTCATGTCATGTCTACATAAAAGGAAGTATTTATCTTGCAAAGCCTATCTGAAAATTAAATCTGAGTAGATAATAAATATCAGCGATAATAGGATGCATCTCTGTTTGACGCCAGTTTAAATATAACATTTATAGGTTGTTTTCTATGATACGTAAGTTTCTGCTATCAATGCTTTTGGTTCTTAATATGTTCAAAAGCCTTCTCGTAATCAATGAAAACCAGATCATTATCTTTACGTTGGTCAGGGAATTTTTTGGAGAACTACCCTAAATCCATTCCTAAATCCAAACTGGATTTCATCTTTCTCAATAATTTCTTATTCTTCCTTGAATAATACGAAGAAACATTAACAA